TGTCCTTCTGCCTATATCATTAGCTGCCTTGCGGCGTATGCTCGAGTATGAACTCCAAAGGCACCATGGACGGAAGAGTGTGTCGTCAAACTGATCGGTGTACGCTTATCTGCCACCACCAGTATGTGCGAGCGCGTATGCGGACACTACTACTGTGTGCGTGCCCGTATTTGAGCGCGGTAGCACGCATAGGGGCGGCCTCAGCTGCACCAACCACCTGCGTTCTCCCTCCATCTCAAGTCTCCTCGACTTTGTCTTGACACCGAATAAGGATGGAGAAGTGGGCAGAGTGAAGTAGATGTTGCGCGAGTCTACTTTCACGAAAATCCAGCGAGAGCCACCGCGTCTGCCTTCAGCTTACTGAAACTCGTGGTCGAAATCTACGGTCGAACTGTCTCCCACGCTTACAACAAAGAGCAAAGCGCTATAACAATTCGGCCATCGACTTCGGTGATGTCCACTGTATGCTCCATAACCGGATGGTCCAGGGACAGTGACTTGCGCGGCATCTACCGTACTCCCTCTCTTCCCTCATCCACCTGTGTCCAGTGTTTATAAGGCCAGAGGCGGGATCGGACGCAGGTGGCTGGCGCGGCAATGTGCTAGAATGACAGCTCGATGGATAGAGTTGAGGGTGCCGAAGCCAAGACAAGCGTTGGACCCCAAGCATGTACTTACTCTAAATACTTTGAAACCAGACTCACACTCCTTGATGGGACCAAGGGAAGATGAGCCCTAGTGTTGGCTTAATCAGCGTCACCTCTGACAAATGGAGGCGTCAGTGCCAGAACCAGTACTACACTTCTTGCCAAGATTGAGGGGATTTGAGCCCAGCACGGACTTTAATAAGCGTCTTTTCTAACTATCTAAACAGTCAGTAACAGAACCAGCAAATACTATCACTTAGCTACACCCTAGTAAGTAGTATTAGAAGTAGCAGTATTGGTAGTAGCAGCACCAGTCCTGGCTTACTAAAGTTTGGCTAGACATCTACTATAGATGAGCGAGGGAAGACAGTGCAGTAGTACCCGCGCAAAGTCTACTGTCACTAA